GCAGTCCAGGAGTACAATACAGTTTTGAGAGTTGAGTGTTCAGTAATTATGCAGATAACACCCACAACCAGATTTCAGTTGACCCTAATCTTTTTAGTGTGGAATTTTTATACTTGAATTAACATTTTTTGTCTAAGGGTCTCTAAGAAGTGTGAGAACAATTTACTTAAAACCACACCGAATCTTTTTTATTAGGTAGTGTGTAACAGGTTTTGACTCCTAGCCCCAGTCCTTGCCCCTCCTGAGCTAGGGGCTCCCTAGCTCTATCAGTCTCTGGCTTTGACCCCCAGTCTTTGCTTCTCTCTTTGGGCCCTGGCCCTGCTCCTGGGCCACTAGAAACTCCTGGGCTCCCTTAGTCCTGCCAGTCTCCAGCTGTGGCCCTTCTCAGCCTTTGGCTCATCTCAGGGCCCTAGCCCCTGTGCCAGGGAGACCTTTGGACTCCGTGACCTTGCTGACATGCCCCATCCTGGGCTATAAATCTCTGAGCTCTCTGGCCCCTCTCTCCCTTGTGCGCCAGCTGGGACCTCCTTGCCTCCCCCTTATCCCTTCCACGAACCAGCAGAGTTACTTACCCCCACTCAGATGTTAACCCAGAAGCCCTACTGCCCAGGAACTCCTCTCTCCATGACACTCGCACCTAGACTCCCTGACTAGCTCAGGCCCTGGGTTTATATGCTACAAGCCCCACCCCTTTCTGGTCAGGTGACTCTAATTGGCTCCTGCCACACCTGCAGACTGTTTCTCAAGCAGCCTCTTCCCCTCTTAAAGTGGCAGGTGTGCGGTAGTGCAGCTGCCATTTTACAGAGGTTAGTAAAGCAATGTATTACGGTAACATAAGGCAGAGGTGTCAGACTCCTCAGGCCCCATGGGCTGAGTGCAGGTTGCTGGGCTGGTCTGTGGGCCGGGCCAGGACTGACACCCTGTGCAGCACCTGCAGTGCCAAGTCCAACCCTCATGCCACATGCACTGGCACCAGGGATTGCTCTGCATATGTCATGTGGAGTCGGCATGGGGCACATGCTACTGGGGCGCATGGGCTGGACTCAGTGCTGTTTGCAGTGCCCCAGACCTGGGTCCACCTGTATACCACAAGCAGTGTGTATTCAGTGCTGGCACCGCATGCACAGCGAGCCCTGGGGTTGACACTTGGTGCGTGAAGGCTGGACTGGCTGCGTGCACTGCATGCAGCACTGGGGCATAGATGCCAGGGCACGCACTGCATGCAGCACCCTGCCAGCCCAGCCCTTTGCACTGGTTCCAGCAGGGCCCAATCCGGACTGGCCCCGGAGCCAGCATGCAGGGCCTGTGTGGCAGGGCACTGCACGCAGCAAACACCCTGGACTGACCTCCTGTTCTTTGTGCAGGGCTTGTGGCACTCGGTCCAGCCCATTTGCCACATGCAGCACGCAGAACTGGGATTGGTGTGTGGGACTGGTCCAGTGGCCTGCATGGATCAGCCAGATCTGGCCCCCAAACCACAAGTTTGACACCCCTGATATAAGGGAACATAGGGCCCAGGGCCCCTGCTGTTAGATGCTGTGTCCTGATTTCTAAACTCTCCAATTCAGTAGAGTAACTATTTTTAATACATGCATCTTTTTATTTGCACACAGATCCTGATTGAATTTTGTGCAGGTGGAGCAGTAGATGCTGTAATGTTGGGTAAATATATGTTTTTGTTTCAAATAGAAAACTTATAAAGTTGAAATAAGAATAATTAAATATTTGAAGGCTTTTGCTTTCAAAATTCTATATATGCTGTTCTGAAATGTAAGTATCTTTACATTTTATGAAGGGCTATCCTGAAGAATAGTCAATACTGTAGTTTTAAAATATTTGCTAATATTGCAATTTTGTACACAACTACCACACTGTAGTGCATAGTAATTTACTTTCTAACTTCTGAAGTATCCCATGATTCTGAAAACGTTGAGTTGTTTATATTAATAACTGGGGACTTGATCTTGAAAATGCTTACATGAATATCAGCAACTTTAATTAAGGGTAGTCATGCCAGCTTATCCAGGAGCCAGCTGTTTGTGTGTAAAAGTATTTTCAGAGTCTGCTCTTTTTATTATCTTCCTCTAAATTACATTTTAATTAATAATTTATATTTCACTTACCCAAAAGTCTGATATATATAGTGCTTAAATGCAGGTATATTTAACCATTGCAAGTATGAGATCTTTGTATTTAATGAGATCTCTATATAGAACAAAAAATCAAATTTAATACACACACACACTCACACACACACACATATATATATAGTTCATATACACATTGATGTTCCCAGATTCCCAGGATGAAATTCTGGCTTCATTGAAGTCAGTTGGAACCCTACCAAGATCTTTACTGGGGACAAACTTTCTTTCCAGCTGTTTACTTCTGAAATTAAATAAATTAAGCAAACTTCGTTTCATTATACTTCTGTCATTTTTGTTATGATTTATGATGAGCCATCTGGAACTTTATGTAAATAGCAAGGCATAAAATTGCAAATGACATTTGTTTATTTCTGCATGCTTTTGTCTTTTTAGAGCTTGAGAGACCATTAACAGAGCCACAGATCAAAGTAGTTTGCAAGCAGACTTTGGAGGCATTAAACTACTTGCATGAAAATAAGATAATTCACAGAGATCTAAAAGCTGGCAATATTCTTTTTACACTGGATGGAGATATTAAACTGGGTGAGTATCTTTATTTAGAAATAAACAATATTTTTCTGTTAGCTGTCGTCAAGCATTTTTGCCTAAATTGTAGTTTGGTGCTCTTTAGTATTTCTTTACCTGGTTATAAATTTTAGAAAGCTTAGTAGTTCAATAGATATTTTGGATGTTAACAAAATTACTCATGAGTAAAACTAGAGTTGTCTTAATCATATTTAACAAAACTTCCCATAGATTTCAAAGGGAGCAAGAACAAATACTGTATCATTATTTCTACTGAATTTTCTTGAATTTAGTCAGAAGCTGCTTTCACTCCCCAGCTCTGCCACACACATTTCCCAGTTGTGTTATATAACTTGGGGTAAGACACTTATACACAGATCCTTAAAAAGGCATTTTGGTGTTTAACTCACTCCTGTTGATTTCAGTTGGAATTACCTTGATACCCTTGTGGACCTTGGTATTAGGCAGTTATCCAGTAGATTACTTAAACACATCTTTAATTGTGAGCACATCCTCAACTTTGAAGCCAGTTCAAAAGTTAGGATGACTCTATAACATGTCATGGCTTTGCCCGTGCCTCTGCTGCCGATCTGGAAAGAACGCAAGTAACCCTTCCTGTTTTCTTTTCTATTAAGCTTGAAAATTTAGAGCAGGGACTGTTTCTTAGGGCCCCTCTCAACATGCAGGTAAAGTAATGGAATCTAATGCATGATCCGCACAATCACGCCTCCTATCATGCCACACGTGTATGGCAGGGGGTGTGATTGTGAGGTTGTGCATTAGATCCCACCAGCCCTTATTGCCAGTGCAAAAGGAGCCTGGAATTGCGATCCCAGGCTCCCCCCGCACTGGCTTCCATGGCGGTGAGGGACAGTGCTGGGAATGCTGCTACCTCTGCTGGCCTTGGCTGCTGCAGGGCTGGAAACGGTGGCTGGGAGCCCCTCAGTTGACAGGGTTCCTAGCCACAGAGGAGCACCTGGCCACACGTTCAATTAATGGCATCACAAGAAGAAGCAACAAATTTGCTAGCCATTTTTTGTGGAATAACTAATGTAGCTTATGGTTTGTTTTATCATGCCATTAAGTGGCTGAATGTGTAGCTGGGTCACAACTTAGGGTATGATTAACTGGTAAATCACATCTTAAGTGTAATGTGTAAGTGGGGCCTTACAGTGTTAGGTTAGGGACCAAGCAGATTGGAGCTTGATCTTATTTTGGGCCTCTAGGTACTGCTTCAATATTCATCCGAACAAACAAGCAGTGATTTTCTTAGGACCAGTGTGGAGGCCTGAGAAAACGTCTCTGCCTATTTTCCTTGTCTCACATGAATTTCAGTTTACCAGCTTGTACCTGAGCCCTTTGAGTTTCCCCAGATCCTGAAATTGGTTTACAGTACTGCAGAGATGACTGAGACACCATTTCACAGAGAAATCTCATCATGGAAGATCCCCTTTGTGTGTATATACAGTGGATACATCCTGGCTATATAAAGTTATGAGTAACTAAAGAGATTGAATTCACTTTTAGATCCATTTGGAAAAAAAAAATCTAACCCCTATCTGGTTGCTTGTAGTAATTTCAGTCTTGAAAATGTTTATTTAAAAAATATATATGTATACCGGGCAAATGCTATAAAATAACCTTTCTGACTTAGTAAGTCTGTAAGGGAGTCAAGTTTTGTCTAGTATCTGCAGTCCTATAGCAGCTCAGTTTTTGTATCAGAAAAGACAGATGTCTTGATTCTGCACTTTTCTCTGCAGAGCAAAATTAAGCTTCTCAAGTGTTGAGCCTATAAAGTCACTTTGTACAGATTAAAGTAGACAACATATGGCTATTTGGTTTCTTTGTTCCAGGCACTAGACCTTAATTAAGAACTGTTACATCTGCTACTGTAGAACAAAAAGTATCCTCAAAATAGATGTGATATCCTTATTTGATACATAAGGAAGACTTGATAGGCTAGTTGATGAATAATATGTTTACTCTTTGCTTCAAGCGGATTTTGGAGTCTCAGCTAAAAACACAAGGACAATACAAAGAAGAGATTCTTTTATTGGCACACCGTATTGGTAAGTGTACTGTTTTGCTAACATTTTAGCATGAACTAATATTGTCATAGCACTTTTGATTAAATATATGGTTTTGCTAAGATATAATGAAAAATATAGGAAGTAAGAGTGTGGCATCTACTTTTTTTAAGATGCAAAAGTTTCATTAAGTCAATTTTTCAGTATGCTTTTTGCTGCAAATGGTAATACTTCATTTTTTAATTGTATATCACTCTTCTTTTCAGGATGGCTCCTGAAGTGGTAATGTGCGAGACATCTAAAGACAGGCCTTACGATTATAAGGCTGATGTTTGGTCTCTGGGCATCACTTTGATAGAAATGGCTCAAATAGAACCACCTCATCATGAGTTAAACCCAATGCGAGTGCTGCTGAAAATTGCAAAATCTGACCCACCTGCACTGGCACAGCCTTCAAAATGGTTAGTCTAGTAGCCACGATTATTTTCATCCAGTTTTTTAAAAATTTGCCCCCAGTTCTGCTAAAATGTGTATTGTATTGTTCTGAATATTAAGTCGACACTGCAAGTAAGTCAGCCCCACATTTTCAGGTTGACTTTAAGGAAAACAGCCTTTTCCCTGAATATAAATCAGCAACTCGAGACCTTGAACTACTGTTTGTTTTACTAAGTCCCACAGGAAAATCAGGCGACTAATTAAATGACCCAAAGGGTGAAATCCACTAAGAATACCAAAATAAAAACTGCATTGAAAAAAAAATTCTGACTTGTTATTTTTATTGCATGCCTCAAAACACTTCAAGTGCCAAAGTTAAGACTGTAGGGGGGCTGATTATAGGTCAAGTGTGATTTTTATGGTTCTTTTGGAGGAAATAAAGGATAGACTTGTAATCAGAACAATACATGCGCTTAATATGCATGCAGCTAGTCATATTGAACTCTGAGACTACCTGTATGTACATGGTTAAACACATGTATATGTCCTTGTAATATTGGGGGCTACTGACTTTCTGTTATTGTAATTGTTACTGTATTGTTATTGTAAAGGCTTTCTTTTTAAAAAAAGGTTCAGTATTTTAGGAATGTCATACAACAAAATTGGACAATATAGCTTATGCTTTTTAAGCATAAAAATAAGATTTTACAAAAAAAGGGTAGATACATGCTAAACTAACCTTTTCAAAAGTAATAAAACATGAGAAAGGTGATCTGTAAAATAAAAATAGTTCATAAAAGGAGAAAGGAAAAATGTTATTTTAGGGATGTTATAGAGAGAAAACATGAAGGGTAAAAAAATGAAAGCTCATCGCTCTTCACTCAGTCATTACAAGAAATTTAAGTTATGGCATAGTATCGTTAGTGAATTTGCATTTCAGATGTATTACAAATAAAGAGCGAGGAAAAGAGAACTTTCTGTAAATGAAACTTCTTAAAAATGGTCTCTCAGGCACTAGAGAAGGCAAGAAAACAAGAAAAATTAAGATTACATTTGAAAAAGCAAAGCAATGGTTAAGTAGCCAGCCATGTCATTTTACACAGAATAATGTAGCAGGCAGTTGATAATTTTAAGACAATTTTAAGTTTTAAACATTTATTCTATGTATTTGCTATCAGAAAGACAGTTCCTCCACCTCATGGCTTTATTAAACTTTCTGGACCCAGTTCATCCCACTGTGTCTCCATTGACAAAGTGGAATTTTAGCAGCTGAAGATGATATGCTGGACCACCAAGCTTAATCCATATAGGGTTTGCTGCTTTCTACCTTCTCTTGCCATCCAGCTGTCTTCCAGAGGCAGAGGAGGGGAGCCATTAGAGTGCAGGCATGAATGAGAAGTTGAAAAGAATGTTTCACTGCAGTTTGTCTAGCGTAGCACTGATGGAGGTAAAGAGGCTGTCACCTGTTTTGTTTCTTACACAGGTCTTCAGATTTTAAAGATTTTCTAAAGAAATGTTTAGAAAAGAATGTGGATGCCAGATGGACTGCTACTCAACTTCTGCAGGTAGGAAGGGCCAAATGGCCAGCAGGGTTATAGTCCAGAGAAGTAAGTAACCATGTTGGTCTGAAGTTAGCCTGATGGCAGAGTAGGGTGGCACCTTGTATCAGGGGTGTCAAACTCATCTGGCCCTGTGAGCTGGGTGAGTGGCGTAGGACTGGTCCATGGGCCAGATGACTGTTGCAAGTCCAACTCTGCAGGCCAGATAGGGCCCATGGACACCCTTTCCTCCCCCTGCCAGATACAGCACGTGCCATGGCTGGGCCAGGACTGCACCACACACAGTTTGTGTCCTGGGCCAGGTGGAATGGGACTGTGTGTGTTCCAGCATGCGCAGTGTAGGTCAACTCTGAGACCTGGGGGCAGTACTGGGAGCCAGATAAGAGGGCTCCATGGGTGGGAGCCCTCTTAAATAAAGTCTGTGGGTTTTATTTTTTAAACCCTTGTTATAGACTGGCATCAGAAACAGTAATAGCTACCAACCATAACACATCTGTGCGGGGAAGAGGCACTACTACAGTCAGGCTCTGAATAATTTGAAATGATAATGTGTACAATTAATCTGTAGTTAACATTATGTGGTAGATTCTCAAACTGAAGAAATGGCAGTAATTCATACCAGGTGAGGATCTAGCCTTTTGTTTATAAGTGCTGGTATATCACAAATAATGATAATGTGCAGCTATTGAAGCTATAGCTCAGTGCTTCCTCTAATGACTAAAGCAGGTGTATTTATAAGTGGGTGATTGGTGACAGATGTTTAAAACACTTTAGTGTTCATCCTCCTGCTGGAATGCTGTCACTGCAGAGAGCTAATGAGAAGATATGATTCTGTTTAATGTCAGTGTATTTTTATTTGTATTCCAACTACCCGATTTACTGGAAAACCAGACATAATCGCATTAAAATTCTTGCTTTAACCTGTTATCATAAAATGAACATTAATGTTTAACATTCTTAATTCAAACGCCAATTATTGTTTGTTTTACAAGCATCCATTTGTTACCGTCACTTCCAATAAACCAATCAGAGAATTGATTGCAGAGGCTAAGGCTGAAGTGACAGAAGAAGTTGAAGATGGTAAAGATGAGGATGAAGAGGAGGAAACAGAAAATTCTCTGGTGAGCCTAAAATATGTTTTTCCAAGTACAAAAGCATACTTATGTGATTATTTATGGAAAAGTAGGGTTTTTTCTGGTACACTGTGGCTTTCTTACACATGTTTTAAGAACTAAAAAACATGTTTTCATTAAAGTCCAGGACATCTCCGTTATATAATACAGAAGTCAAAATCTACAAAATCAGATGGGCTGAAACTTTGTTAGAGAAGAGTGAGAAAGAATATAAGCAGCCTTTACTGTTTTTAAAAACTTAATTTGTAGGTGACATATATATAGAACTCATACATTCACGTAATTGCTAAAATGCGTGATGTCTGAGAATACTATGGGTTCCTTATGATAACTAATAGCTAATAATGGGAAACCATTATAATTAATAATTATAAAAATATAGTTTATAATATGCTCAAAGTGTACCTGTCTGCAATGGTTCTTTTGACTTGTGAGTGGAACAAAAGTGTCACATTAGATCTCTCTCTCCTAATTAGTTTCACAGGAAATTTAGCTTATAATTGCCACATGGTTTGCCATTATTAGCGATTAGTTATCAGAAGGCACTACTAAAGTAGGTCATTTCCATCCACGTTCCAACATGTAAACATCTTAGCATTTCAGCTATCAAGACGTTGAAAAAGGTTTTGAGATTTTTTAAATATGTAATGGGAAATGTGTATCTTTTCATTTCTCTCTCTCTCAAATGACCAAACTTAAAAAAAATCACTGGAAGGGAGACATCATGTGACATTTCATCACAAGAATTGAAAGCTCCCAGTAGATGTAAATGAATTGTAGTAGAGAGTAAGAATGGGAATTTTATGTACCCATCACCCCAGTAGTAGTTGTTGTTTAGAATTAATATATCAGATCTATAAGTAGACACAAATATACAGAAATAGTTTAATAAACCATTATGTCAAATCCTAATTATTCTTTCCCTTTTCAGAGCAATTATGACATATTCTTTTCTACATTTACTACTGCATCTCCATAAGATATGTATCAGATAATTAGCCATTAGATTACTGTAAATAATTAAAGGTACAATAAAAAATCGGTATGACATGCTAGTATGACAAGAGGTGGTCTGATCTTGCGCTTCAAACCGAGGCAAACAAACATAAGCATTTTTCCTGAGTGAGCAGGTAGCTAACAGCTCGTGTTGCAAAGGCATTCTGTGCACCAACAGATTTTAGAATCTCAAGGTGTGGGCATTGTAAAGTGCTTTTAGATTGGAATACATTTAAAAAGTACAGCAAAAATCATATTATCTGCAACAGAAGAGAGTACCATCACACTTAAGCTATGGCTTCACTGCTCTTTAAGAAACTCAATTCATCTAGCAGAAAGAAACTTAGAAATTTAAAAAAATTAGCTGACAAAACTATTGCAGATTTCTTCTTGGAAAGATTTTTTTAACAGCCTGAAATGCTAAGATGTGTACATATTGGAACGTGGATGGAAATGACCTACTTTAGTAGTGCCTTGTATCATGGGGGGAATCTGCTTGGCTAATTTATGAGCGTCAGATTTGTTGGGTTTTTTTGTTAAATTCTCAAAGTGTACCTGTCTGCAATGATTCTTTTCACTTGTGAGCGGAACAGAATTGTCACGTTAGATCTCTCTCTCCTAATTAGTTCAGACTTCTGGGCTGAGAGGCCTCATGCCCACTACAAGCCCTTCATGTCCAACACAACCACTTTCTGGCCAGGGAAGGATTTCTGCATCCCAAACACTGTTGATAGGCTGCCTTATAAGAAACTCCTGACAGGCACTGCCAGAAACAGAAAAGCGATGTTGAGGCAGGGATGCAGGGACTGGGCATTGCTGCGGCTCTCCAAACACAAAGGCTGTTCTAACTTGGGCCAAGTGCATCTTCTTTACATTGTTGGTCTCTTCAGTGCCCGGAGCAGGCCAGACTCTGGGGTGTGCCAAGGTGGCTTAAAGCCTTTGCCCAGTTCCCCTGTGGGTTACAAGTGCTTTGTTGTGCCTCTTCGAAGTAAGCGTGAACTCTCAGCAGTGAAAGTGAAGTGAAGTGGCAGTGAAGTGAAGGTGGAGGAACCCTAGACAATGTAAAGTGACTGAGGAAGGTCTTGGGAGAACTCTTTACGTTGTACATTTGCTGAGGTAAAGAACACCCACTAAACCACATTGTTTTAGCCTCGCTGGACTCTTAAGAGGTTGGAAGCTACTAAAGGCTTTTGTGCAGTTGTTGCTTGTGCAGGATGAGAGACCATCTGCAGACCTAATAGTCATGTGATAACACCAAGCCAAATAATTTGGGATGATAGACTTCACAAAGTTGTTCCTGGAAACTAGGATGTACGTGTGTCGTGTCTTTGGATACATTTTGCTTTCTGCATTCTAATATTTTACCACAGCAAACTACAAAAGAGTAAACATATATATTTCTTTCTTTGTTTTAAATAAAAATTTTAGCAATTACCAGCAGACAAGCGCGCTTCCTCTGATCTTAGTATCGCCAGCTCCGAGGAAGATAAACTGTCACAGAACGCCTCTGTTCTGGAGTCTCTGTCTGAGAAAACAGAAAACAGCGCTGCGGAGGAGAAGAACAGTGGGATGCTTCCAGATGATAAAACAGCTGCTGATGAACGTGCGAATATTGAAGATGGAAAAGCCATTGATAACACATCAGATGCCACTCATGAAGATGTTGTAAAAGTCCAAAACGGGTCAGTGTTAATTGAGGAAAATGAGTTAAAGAAAATACCAGGAGTTGAAAAGAAAACTGGAAAAGCAGAAGTAAGTGAAGGTGCTGGCTTACAGAAAGAAGGAAAAGCAGTTGACACAGTGCTGCCATTAGAAACAAATGATGAACACGGTGTGAAAACAGAGAAAGAAAATGACACAGATAATGAACAAACAGCTGAAAACAATCGGAAAATAGGACCTGAAACTGAAGAGCCAAGTGCTCAAATTACAGACGTGATCTCTGAAGAGACTGGGGAGAAAGAGGAGAAAGAAAGTAAAGCAGATCTGCAGGAAAATAAGAATGAAGAAGGTACTGTAGAGAAAGTTGCAGAACAAATGGAAGAGACAATGGACAGCACTAAAGAAACTCCAGTTCAGGTTGTAGATGAAATGGCTGACAGAGAAAAGGAGCCACTAAAATTTGAAGGTGATAGTGCTCCAGAGACAGGCAGCAGTAGTGAAACTCAGATCACTGATGGAGATAAAATAGCAGGGACAGGTCAGAAGCTAATGGAAAGTGGACTTGAGCCTGCTCATGAGACTGTCAGCGCTGAACGAACAGAAAGTAAAAGTGAAGATACAGTGACTGATACAGATCAGAAATCAGTAGATGACGATACAGTGACTGATACAGATCGGAAGTCAGTAGAAAGTGGAAATGAGGATGTGTGTAAGACAAGCAACACAGAGGAAACAGAGGTGAAAGAGTCAGGCAACGTGGGTGACCCAGACCAGAAGTCAGTAGAGAGTAAGACTGAAGATATTTTGGGGGTAAATGACACTGAGGAGATGGTGAAGGCAAGTGACACTGTGGAGATTCCAGAAAAAGATGCGGATAAAATAGCTAAGGTTAACCAAAATTCAGAAATAAAGAGACCCGAGGACACTCAAAAGAACAGTATTCAGATAGATACAGAGCGTTCAGAAGTTCCTGGTGATCCACTAATAAAGAACAAGCCGCAGGAGACTACAACTGAACAAACTGAACTCACACCAGTACCCAGAATTAACATTAGCACTGAAGAAAATGAGGAAAAAGTTAAAATAGATAATGAAGCCAATGCTGAAACTTTACGCCAGCTGGAACCTGAGACTGTGAAGGAAAATGATGCAGATTCAGGTACTGGTTCCACAGCGGATAACAGCAGCATTGATTTGAACTTGTCCATCTCTAGCTTCCTCAGTAAAAATAAAGACACGGGATCAATATCGTTACAAGTAAGTGCAGACAGCGATACATACTTATATCGCATCTTACACAGTTTGACTCTAAGTCTGATTTTGAGCTTGACCTTCACAACCAGAAATACCAACCAGCCAGGCGTGAATCCCCTTTCCCCCGGTGCCCCCAGCCTCCCTCTTCTGGCTGAAGGATGAGAGACCAGTTCGCTGTGTCTTTCTCATCCACCTGGAGTCTCCTCTTCCCCCCTCCCCTGCTGTGAAGAGGGGCCATGCTGTTGTGCTTTTCCTCATCCTCCAGTTTGGGTCCTCCTTTCCCATTAACCCCGTTTTGTGCTTATAGCTTTTCCAAGCAGAAGTTTTAAGGGTGAAATCAATAAGCCACTATTTACTCTATTGCTGCTTCCCAGTCTTGTTTGGGAAGATTCTGCTGAGTGGGAAAACTATAGGCAACAGCAAATTCAATGCATCTTTCTTCAGACTTAGAAAAATAAACCTGCTTCAGATCATATTGGAAGATTATTGAGCGGTTTGTTTTTTAACAAGTGAAGGTATGGAAAAATAATGGTTTAGTTCTACCTTTGCTGGCTAAGAATAGTTTGGCAAGCGCAAGCTTTGCTCTAGGCTCTTGATGACAATTGACTCTTGCTGTACCGTGCACCATAGTTCTCTGCTCAGGATCTAAGTCATTACATTTATCAGATGTATAAAAATAGAGAGAGTGGATATAATTAACACAAATTGTAACTTAGCTAAACTAGACTAATCCAACAATGTTCTGCATTCAGGACACTAGAAGACAAAAGAAAACGTTAAAGAAAACTCGCAAATTTGTTGTTGACGGGGTAGAAGTGAGTGTGACTACTTCTAAAATAGTTACTGAGAATGATTCAAAAAGTGAAGAAATGCGATTTCTACGGTGAGTAAAAAGCTGAATGATATGTGATCATTTTTTAATTTGTTTGTATTTTAGTAATTTTTTTAATATTATTTTTTGGTAATTCAGTAATTTCTGTCTGGAGAACTTTGCAGTTTGCTTGTATAGTGCATTTATGTATTGAGTTATTAGCGGAAGAAAAATGTAGCTTTTTTTTTTTTTTAAGATACAGACATTTAAACCTCATCTTAAATTGCTTTTTTATTGAATCCAAAGAGCTTATTTTATTTTATTTCTATAATTTACCTGCATTATAGTCGTCTTTCCCCCCCACCGAATCTTCCATTTCTCTCTTTATTAGGCGTCAGGAGCTGCGGGAGCTAAGACTTCTTCAGAAAGAAGAGCAACGAGCTCAGCAGCAGCTCTCCAACAAACTCCTGCAACAACGAGAACAGATGTTCAGACGCTTTGAACAGGAAATGACAGTGGGTTTCTGGTTTTTGTACCAGCTTTGTTTTGAGTGAATGTAGTACCCTGAGGAGATGCTGTATTGACAGAGTTGATAAAGTTAATGGTAGGAACAAACACAGGGTTTCATTGCTGTGGGTGCTTAATGTAATTCAGTTCCCGTGCCTATTTAGTTCTTGTTCGTTCTGTTACTGGTTGTCTCCCACTCCAGTCTTTGACAGTAGGGAAAATGCTTGGATGCAGTTCAGACAGAAAAGTGGCACAAAGCAGTTTTTTAGGAGGAGCATTAAAATACAGTCCTGTCCCTACCCATCTCCAAATCAACTCCAGCCTGGCTGAGCTCTGTCAGTACTGGGCACTGCTTCAGCTGAGTTCCTAAGTGGCTTATTAGAAGAAAAGAATAGCAGGGCATGTGCTCCATAGGATCCAGGAATCAGACCTCATATTGTCTTCAAAGGGCCACTCCAAAACAGATTTGCCAACGTGAGATCCTCTAGGCTATAAACTTTGTCCTTGGAGAGGGCTCAGGTGTGCCAGAACGTGTCCCAGCACAGATGATCCACTTCATTAAGCAATACAGATATCGCCCATTGTCCCGCAGGGTTCGGCCCTGCCATTGTCAGGGCTTCATAGGTTCAGTCCTGTGAGACAAGCGTGAACAGGGGCATCTCGGGTTTCCCGTTTGCAGAGGTGCACGCCGGGAGTCCCCCCACAGAAGATTCCTTGGGTGCGGGTGTCCTGCTGCCATGTTCCAAGTCAGGGCACACCTCTGCAAATGGGGGATTCCCGGGTTCCCCTGTTAGCAGAAGCATGCCCTAGGAATCTCTTATTTGCAGAGGCTCCCCACCCCAAGTCGGGGCACAGCAGTGCAATAGGCATGCCCAGGGAATGCCCTGCTGGCAGATTCCCAGAGCACACCTTTGCAAGCAGGGAACCCGGGTAGGTGCTGCCAGGGCTTCAGGGGAATTCCCAGGGTGTGCAAGATTGGGCACCTCAAACCCTAGAGGCAGCTGGAGAGCAGGGGCAGCATTCCCACCATAAAGCAAATGGACATCCTCTAGAAGAAGAAGGTGCAAATTTGTACCACCTATTGTGGCAGCCACAATTTTGAGCTTGTCACACAAAAAGGGACATGGGCACGGACAACTGTTGGCTTTGTGCTACCATAGAAATTTTATGGTGGCACAAAGGTGTCTGTTTGCAGCCCTAGTTTCCAGCTCCCTCAAAGCAGACTCGAGTGAAGCCTTTGATCACTTATCGTATATTTACACTCACTTATCTTTGTACCCCTGCTCTGTATGTCTTTGCAAGGGCCAAAACAGAACACAGAAAGCTTTGCTTTCCCACAGCCACCCTTGGAGCACACACTGCTTTATGATGATAAGCACCTACTTCTCCTGCTTTCCCCGCTGCAACTTGGTTTAGATGCCAAGTAGGCACCTTGTAAATACCTACAGCAAGATCGAGATAACTGGTCCCTACTAGATAAAGTTTTCCACACATATTGAGCAAATATCACTGCAGAGCTCTCAGTCTGCAGAATATTGCTTACTAGAAAATCATCAGATCAAACAATTGTTTTACAGAGTAAAAAGCGGCAGTATGATCAAGAAATAGAGAATCTGGAAAAGCAACAGAAACAGACAATAGAACGCTTGGAACAGGAGCACACAAATCGCTTACGAGATGAAGCGAAACGCATTAAAGCAGAACAAGAGAAGGAGTTGTCCAAATTCCAGAACATGTTGAAAAACAGAAAAAAAGAGGTAAGAGCTTTAGATAATATAGAAAGTGTGGCCAGAGGAAGTGGGCCTTCATGAGGCCATTGGAAGCCAGTGTCATTTATTTTTAATGTATAGTGGATGCATCTACATGTGCCATTAAAGCAACTTGATAAACTCTGGCACAGTTTGCACCAGGCAGCTGCTTCTGAGCACAGGGCCTACACATGCGCCCGGGACTGCAGCATCCTGAGCTGCTGTGGAGTGCTGGCAGGAGCCAGGAGGGTCAGCCCCAGGCTCCAGGTGGTGGGGTTGGGCAGCATGAGGCTGGCTGGGGCATGAGCATGGTAAAGTACAGGGCTCGGCAGCAGGTGGCCCCCACACATTAGCACCCTCATGCCCCAGCCAGCCCCTGTCACCATCTACACATGCATTTTGGCAGAGTTAAGTACTCCACCGTAAGATAGTACTGTCCCTGACAGTACTATCGTATGGCAAAGGTAATTAATTTACCGCGCCCTAATCCCAGTGCACAAGTAGATGGTGGTGCTTTACTGCGGAGCTAATTACTTAACACAGATGCAGATGTACCCACAGGGGAATAGAAATGGTGAAAAGAATGTTCAACTTTTTACTTCTGCAGAATTCATTGACAGCACATCTTCCACATAACCTTTTAAATGAGCAAATCTTTATTTTGCTTGATTTATAATTTGAGAGCTTTCCATAAAATGTAACAACAAAATCCAAAGGTGCCTATACTTGTAATATTAGTCAAAACTGTTATTTTTTAAAAATTCTACCAGCAAGAATCATTATATTTATTGTAATTACAGATTTGCTTTTAGTTGTTTTGTGGTTTATTATTTGTAAAAGGTGCAATTGCATGACCTCTAGTTTTTAGCTTGATTAGGGAAAAAAGTTGACAGGCAACACATTTTCTAATAAATTCAGATCTGTGCTACGTAATAAAGCAAACTAGTGATGATACCAACAGGTAGTTTGTTAATTTGCACATATTAGCACATGGAAAAAGTGGTACAGTATAGTTACATAATGCTTGGTTGCATATGAAGGCCATTTTATGTAACTGGTAAACCAATTTTACCATTTTATGTAATTGGTAAACCAGTTACATATAGTTCTGCATATAAATGAATAAAGTAAAGGCAAGATTAAGAATAATTATTAGCTTAATTTGCTTTCTCTAAAAACCTGTACCAACAAAACTTATGTGCAGGATCCTATAGCACAGAAGTATTTAGAAAAGTATTAATTGTATTTGTTTTGAACTGATATTTATGTATGTGTATATTTATATAAACTGGTATATATTAATCACTTTTTCTCTTTTGCTGAGCCTCTTTCATTTTTGAGTCTCTACTTTTTACTGGTGATTGGGTCTTACCTGGGCAAGCTGGTGAAATTTAATGCACTGTACGGATCTAAAAGCATTTCTTTCACGGAAACAGGAATAGCATGTGGTGATTTGGATTCTGTTTTCTAGTGGTCCTTCTCCTATTAAACAAACAGTCATTTGTTCTTGGATGCACACTTTTCTTTATAGTTCAGTGAGGGGATTTGCAGTCTGAAGGAAAATGCAGCTGGGACTCTAAAATGATCCATGTTATATTGAGGATTATGGAAAGTATGCAGCGCTAAAAAGTTGTAGTCACCTTTTTATCTATTTTAAACACAATTTATCATGAAATTATCAGATTCATAGCTAATTGCTTTAGTCAGAGGAACATAATTTGTTACTCTTCTTCTGAACTTGTTAAGAGGAGTACTTGTAAGTGAACGTGTACAGCCATTTAGCGTGCTTGCAGGCCTCTTCTGTAAAGTATTAAAACACGTATTATGTAAGTATCATGTGTGGTCGAGAATATCTTCATGCAAAAATAGTCATGAAATGTTTGAAGTTACACATGCCACAGTGTCAAGATTAGCTGTCTTTCAGTGAAAGTTACTACAGCACACACACACGGTACGCACGGTTTCAAGAAAACACCACCTCCTTTGCTGGTGATGGTTTTCTTAATTGATGGCTGTTTCACTTGTTGCAATAAAACACATTCATGTGATACCGTAATCAACAGGAATGAATTGCTCTTTCTGAGAGCACTCATTAATATTTGCATGCAAAATTAAACTCCTGTCTGACCTGCACTTACACATGCGTAAAGCACATGCTGTCTTTTCCCCTTTCATCAGACTAACCCCTCCACCATCAAAGGAATGCATGCTTTCTGCTACCTCTGATGCTTGACATGCACTTTTTGCATTCGCAGTAAATGCTTGCTGTGGAGAAAGTGTTATTTTCCCCCCCTTCTGCATGGTTATACACTAGGTTTTTAATGAAGTGGAGAAAGCACCCAAAGAGCTGAGAAAAGAGCTCATGAAACGCAAGAAAGAGGAGCTTGCACATAGCCAGCATGCACAGGTAACAGCATCTGCTTCAAGCCACTAAAATCCAAACAGCAGCATTATTCTCACAGCTTAATAATTCCACTTTATTTTTTGGAGTGAGTATGAAATTTAACTCTTAACTAATCCTTGTTATTGATGTGCTTCTTCAAATTGCTGCCATAGCCTTGCTAAGAGAGTACAACGTGTGTAAACAACGGTATGCAAATTTATGTTAGTGGTGCTAGAAAGAAGCTTCAGATTTAGGAAGCAGTACATAAATTAGAAAAATATCTTGATACATCAAGAGAGCACTCATTACAATGCTTCCTCAGCTGGTAAGTATCCTCTTTGTCTAATTAAAAAGGTTAGGGAAGAACAAAGAATATATTCTTAAGCATCAGGAAGGATGATAAATATATAAAAAGTGTAAAATTAAGGAGCGTTGTTCATGGCAGCAGAGCTTTTAAAGTTAACTGCGGTTAATTAAATGTCACAGTGAAGTGTAGGTGTGGGAAACTTCAGAAGACTTCAGTATACTTGTATGCATTTAAACTTACTGCCCTTGTGAGTCAGAGCTGGAAGGAAAAATATTTTTTTCAATGCGTTCTTCCTCTGTGAGGTTATAAACAGGTCCTACTGTACCTTACTGCCTCTAGCTAAGGATGTGTCGCAAGGGGGCAGGTTTGGCTTGAGTAATGGAAGTGGGATGCTCTGAAGGTTTCGGGTTAAGAATTTGGACATAGAGGCACCTAGCTTGTTGCCATTTGAGGCTAGATCCTAATCAGCTTGCCACTTGGGTGTTACACTACCTAAAGCTTAGGGACCCTTCCCAGAAAGTGAGAGGCCTGGTTTCTCTACCTCATCCTGGGGGATTCAAACCCTCATCTCCTGCTTTCCAAGAAAGTACTCTACCCTCCAGGCTGCCAGCTTCACTAGGTAGGACCTGTTTCATCCACACTGTGCAAAGAGGAATGCAAGATTTATGGGCCAGAAGGAGAGCAAATACAAGAAGGAACATGACTTAACTGGACTCACCTTTGTGAGGGACTCCTGGGTTTTGGTCCTGCTTCTGGGACTGTTTAGGTACCTCACTCAAAACAAGCACTGGATAAAACCAGAAATAACCCAACCGTTAGAGCATTATTAGATAGTAAGGTAGGCACCACGTCCTCCTTGTCCGGCAGCTACGAAGGAAACAACAACAGTATTTTGTAAAGGGTCTGAGTCTGTGGATGTGCAGTAGGCATTCTCTCTCTGCGCCTCCTGGATCGGGCCCTTCAGAGGATGTAGACAGTCTCGCATCGCCAGGCCAGAACTGCTTTAGCACGGGCAGTCGCAGGTTTTCATGCAGCTAGAGAACTTTGAAGTCAAGCACAGAAACAGTTAGTGAGCTTAGATGCCTCTAGGATTAGGTGGCTTTTGGAAAGGTAAGGGTTTGATCACAATTTTAAACACGAGGCTTCAAATATGCCCAGGTTGAGGGTTTTTTTAATTTTCCCACAATGTTTATGGAAGTGGCAGAGTGGAAAAGCTGTATTACTGGACAGTGTTACCTGTGACTTGATGTAAGTTTTCTTTGAGCATGATAGTTTGAAATGCTCTTGTTATATCACTTGAAATAAAGTTAGTCTCCAAAAACTTTATATTTAGAAACAGTTTTCACTTCTCTCAGTGGATTAATTTTATTTCCCCTATTAACAGCAACATTGATAAAGTAGGGTATCCTAGTGTAGAGATGAAAGGCTCCTTCTGTACAATCAAAACCTACTGTAACCCTAGAAAATATGCATAGATTTGGTACACGTTTCTGCTGTCAGTGACTAGATTTGTTTTGCTCTGACCACAGCTTTGGAAACTCAATATTCACATTGCTGATATCAAGCAGTTTATCATTTTTGAAAGAAAAGAGTTATGTTGTTTATGCTCTGACTGGGAAGTGCCTTGTATTCTGATCCACAGGGTGTTGCTCAGGTTATGATTCAGTCTTTTCAGTTGTCTTCGTGTACACTTTTCGACCCACAAATGCAGGATGTAAGTCACAAAATGCCCGAAGGGTTTTATTTCCCTCATTTTTCAGCTGTGTGTTTTGTCTGTGGTTCAGATGTGCTGATCTAGTTGCCCAGCCATCTCAAAATGAATTAGTGCAAATTTTCAAAATTATATAGTTTAAATTAAAACGTTCACATTTGATTAACTCTGATTAACTCTGAACAAAGCGTTATGAATTTTCTCCTGGAGAGAAGAAACCAATAAGGATTTTATCAGTTTTTCAGCACATGTGAGAAAGCGAATGCTGTGACTTTTTTATGCTTTGTGTGCAGTGAAATCTTGTACTTTAAAAACGAAAAAAGATAGGTTTTTTTCATGTCTTCCAAATTATTGGACAAAACCAAGTTGTTCTTATTGTAAGAGCGGAAGAACTAATATAGCTGTGAAGAAGCAAGTTGTGTTGTGGCAGTGAATTTATTCTCCGTAATGTTTACTGCATGTGGCGTTTGGGATTGATGGATACTGTGGAAAGGATACATCTTTTTTTTTAAGATTACCTAGTTTATCTAGTAGTATTAGCAATGTCATTAAATAAAAACCCTGCTTGTGTTGCAAGACTCCGAGGAAGGAAAAATCTGCCTAGCAAAACATAAATACTTTTCAAACCAAGATTATTACCCTTCTAAACGTAAAATGTATTTTCCTCACTGGTAAAGAGCATAATAAAATGGCTCTAATAATATATGTCTTGAAACTATCGTTTCTAAGCACTAAAGTTTGTTAGTTTTTATTTTT